TTTTTTTTTTTTTTTTTTTTTTTTATAAAGACGAAAAGTTTTGGATTCAGTTTCCGAAATTGCTGAAAGACTTTCCTAAATTCACTCGACTCGTTCGTGAGAAACTAATCGGTCGTCATAGTATTAAAAAAATCCAAATTACATCAAACATTAAATCATGCAGTTATTCAACACGAGTTATGTTAGTATTGCGACGAATTTTCTTTTAACGCATTGCTGCCCGCTCGCTGCGATAACGAGTCAAGAGAGAGAGGAGATTAATTATAAATCCAGGGATTTGTCTTATCGACAATTGTTCGTGACGTTTCGAAACTTCGTTAACGAGGAAAACACGAAAGAACCGGCCAATTATACGGGGAAATCCGCGAAACTCTGAGATTCTTGAGATATATAATACATTGGTCCGATGCAGACAATCGGTGAATTTACACAAATACACTGTTACTGAAAAAAAATATCCCAAGAAACTTATCTGTTATTAACGAGATATATTTTAATTGCAAAATTGCAGATAAATCAAATTGCGGCGATTTTATCCTTCATAATTATCATAACTACGCGCAGTAATATATTGCGATACGATTAATTTTTTTTTTTTTTTTTTTTCAAGAACAAATACAAAACAGTAGAAGTGACGTTTGAAATTTTTCAAGCTTTAGAGATACAGATTTAAAATTTCATCTTTCGGAGTTAATAGTCAAATTAGCAAAAATCTTCTAAACTAATGTTTTCAATGTTAATATGTCCAATGATGTGCAAATAATAAGTGTACAGACTAGTACTCACATGTTGTAAATAGTAGAATATATCATTACATAGTTTGACAAGTCGGAATAGAATGTTGCGAGAAACTGAAATTGATATAAAAATACAAATGTAAAATAATAAAACAGCAAAATGTTAAATTTTGTAGACGTATTTCGTTATTCAACAATATGCACTCAGGTTCCTTAATTTCTAATTTAACTGTAAGATCTTTTAAATTCATACAACTAATAATTACACATATTACTATCTTTTTTAAGTTAAATACTTTAGGCTTATTTAGATTAGATTTAAGTTATGCTAATAAATGCTGCTTCTAATTATTAATTTGATTTGTACATATTGGTAATATTCGCATACGTATTTATACCAATGTTCAAATATTTATAAATTGTAGTAATAGTCAAATTGATCAGTTCCGCTTTTTGTTGATTTTCTAGATAAAAGAAATATCTTACTTTTGTGTATCCACGCACAAATATCTTATATAATCATATATTTATATAACAAATAATAGTAAATTCCAAGATGAGCACCATTTTTTTTTTCTTTTTTTTTTTTTTGAACGAACTCCTAAAACTCGCGGAACAAAACTTGTTTGCATCGGACCACGGGTTGGTTGGAAATGATTGAAACGAAAGGGTAATCGGCGAAGACGTTTCATAGAAAATCAATCGATGAATGGAAAAAACGAAAAAAAAAAAAAAAAAAAAAAAAAAAATTCATCGGTACTGATCGAACGTGCGTGCGCGTTGTCTGTGGGCTTGCAGCGATATTTACTGCCATGGCGAGCTGTTGCACACCATCCAGATGGCGTCGATTTACAAGGACTCGAAAACGTTCGTCGACATGAAGATGAAATACCCGCCGAACGAAACGTTGCTCCTGTTCCGAGAGTTCATGGAACGGAACGATCACATGCCGACGAGGCATCAGATCGAGCAGTTCGTCAACGACACGTTCGATCCGGAAGGGTCCGAGTTCGAGGATTGGGACCCGGACGACTGGGTCACTCGGCCAAAGTTCCTCGACAAAATCCTCGACGACGACCTACGGAAATTCGCCTCCGATCTGAACCATATCTGGAAGATGTTGGGTCGAAAGATGAAGGACGACGTCCGGATCAACGAGGATCTATACTCGATCATTTACGTGCCGAATCCAGTGATCGTTCCCGGCGGTCGTTTCCGCGAGTTTTACTACTGGGACTCGTACTGGATCGTGAAAGGACTGCTGCTCTCGGAGATGTACAACACGGTGAAAGGGATGTTGTCGAACTTCGTCTCGGTGGTAGACAAGATCGGCTTGATCCCAAACGGTGGTAGAATTTATTACACCATGAGATCGCAGCCTCCTATGTTGATACCCATGGTCGAGGAGTATCTGAAAACAACGCACGACTACAAGTGGCTGGAAGACAATCTTCACCTTCTCGAGAAGGAATTCGACTTTTGGATGACCAACAGAACCGTCGAGGTGGAAGTCGACGGAGTCAAGTATACTCTGGCCAGATACTACGAGGAGTCCTCGGGACCTCGACCAGAATCCTACAAGTAAGTAAGTTGACCAGAATCTCCTACGAGACCAGTCGACGAGCTTCATTTTTTTCCCCCCGACGAATCCTCTTTCTTCTTTCTTTTCTCCTTTTTTTATTTGCTTGGTTTTATCATGGTGTCGTAGGTGGCTAAAGTTGAAACACGAGTGTCCTTTTGAAATATCAAATATATAATGTACATAGAAAGTTGTATCTTGTAGTTACAATTGTAGTACAATTGCAGTGAATTTATAATATTTGGAAGAAGCTGTTAAAGTCCTTGAGATTTTTAAAAAATCGTACGCACCAACAAACGAGAGATAAGAATTAGGTTTCGCATGGATTAATACTAGACGCAGACGAGTGTCTAGAAAATTACTTGTTTCCGTGGAAAATAATTTTCATTTTCTACTTTACCGACTCGGGATACCGAAAATTTTGCTCTGTGAATATTCTTTGATACAGCCATCTTTCTCCTTGTTTTCCTTTCCCCTTTTATTCCTTGGATCGATATTTACCGATCCGTTTGCGTTCTAACGAGGAAATTTCTCTATCGATCAGAGAGGATTACATTACCAGCCAAAGTTTTCGCACCAATGAAGAGAAGGACAACTATTACGCAGAATTGAAGACTGCCGCCGAGTCTGGCTGGGATTTTTCTAGTCGATGGTTCATACTAGACGGCACGAACAAAGGTAAAAGAAGTTGTTTGTCGTTTGTTTGCTGACTTCCGGAGATGAATTACGTTTTGGCATGTAATTGGAATGTAAAACGGTGGTTTCGAGGCGTGGCATACGTGTTGCCAGAAAGTTCTCGAGATTTTTCCAACAATGGCAACTTCTAGAAACTGTGTCGGCAATTATCGTGTCGCATGTTCCACGCGCTATCTGTATGATATCTCGAACGAGATATCCCGAGGTGTCGTTTGATGTTTTACTCGAGTGACGTCAGCTTCTGCAGGTGAAAGCTTAAATACAATATTGCCTCGTTACTCGATGTATTTTCCTCCTCGATGATAGATTACGTATTTCCTTTAAATTCTTTCTCGATTGAACAAATATCCGCGGTCTTTCCTATTAGGAATTGAAATAAAATAAATACAGAGGCATTTCTTACGTTCAGGTTTCTTTGCGACGTAAAAACTTGAATTGTGCATGAATATCTGTGCTTACGCGTTTTGTTTGACTTTCTTTTTCAGAGTACAATTAATATCGTAATAACTACAATATTGAACACATTTTTAGATAAAACGTTTTTCGCGACTTTTGTCGAGGAAAAAATTGTTTACGTAATAAGAGTTCACCGATTCTTCTCGCTGTTAATGATTTTTTCGTCCATAAAATAGGAGGGTTCATACCTGTTAGATCACAGATTCATAGGTGAGCGATTAGCGAATTAGATTTTACGAATCTGTTAAATGATGGACAAATTTTGTGAAAATTAATTGAAAGATTGAATCTTGCCGAATGATCGATTGTACAGGAAGATAGATATCAGAACGAGCTGTGTTGTCCAATTATAACATTGTCCGTACGATGATGAAAATCTGTCGAATCTGACGTGCCGAAATTTGATTAATAATTTCCAAGGAAACTTAAGAATACATAAGTGAAATTTAATTCAAACGAAGTGTTCTACTGCATTTTCCTTTATTGATAAAAAAAAAAAAAAAAAAAAAAAAAAAACGCGATAAGAACAGCTGAGACTTAACCGATCACTGCATAAATTAATATATGATCCTTCCCAGAAAAAAATCTTTCATCATCGATTTATGATAGCTACTACTGTCTAATAAATATACTTGTGAAAAAAAATTGAAAAAATCTAAACGGGTAATTTTACTCGACCGGCCGGGATTAAAAGTTCGTGTTACGACGAAATAGATCGAGCGTGTTTGTTATACTTTTATGCGTGGTTTATATTAAACGACATGGCGACTGTACAAAAGTTCTTCTTTAGGTAACCTGACGAACTTGAAAACGAGATACATTATCCCCGTCGATTTGAACTCGATAATATATCGAAACGCGCAGCTGCTGGCGCAGTACAACCAACGAATGGGCAACGAATCCAAGGTCGCGTACTACCGGAAAAGAGCGGCAGAATGGAAAAGAGCGGTCACGGCCGTGCTGTGGCACGACGAGGTAGGCGTCTGGCTCGACTATGACATATTGAACGACATCAAGAGAGATTACTTCTATCCGACGAACATCCTGCCGCTGTGGACCGACTGTTACGACATCGCCAAGAGGGAGGAATACGTGTCGAAGGTGTTGAAGTATCTCGAGAAGAACCAGATCATGTTGAACTTGGGCGGTATACCGACCACGCTGGAGCACTCTGGCGAACAATGGGACTATCCGAACGCTTGGCCGCCGTTGCAATATTTCATCATCATGTCGTTGAACAACACGGAGGACCCCTGGGCGCAAAGACTTGCCTACGAGGTTGGCCAACGATGGGTACGCAGCAATTGGAAAGCGTTCAACGAAACGCACAGCATGTTCGAGAAGGTAAAAAGTTGGTTAAAGAGATCGGTGGCTGACGATGGGTATCTTGTGGAGGTGAAGATGAAATGTACAAAATATAAACAGGATTGAAATGTGTACACGTAATATCAATTCTTTCGAATTAGTACGCAAATTATGAACGACTCCAATTCCTTGAGCGAGATTTGTAATAATATTACTAGCTTCGCTTCGTAGGTTTTGGAATTGTTTTCATACTTCTGTCGTCTGTCTCTCTCCATTCCGCCAAGTTCCCATCAGTCGCCGATGCTCGATTCGATTAGCAGAATAGCCAGACAGCGTTAAATGCGATTCGTAATTCGTATAGTAGACGCAGTAGTTCGTAGTTGGATCGTTGTTTGCAATATGTTCGGTTCGCAGTATGACGCTACGGTGTCAGGAGGTCACGGAGGTGGCGGTGAATACGAGGTCCAACTAGGCTTCGGTTGGAGTAACGGACTCATCTTGGACTTGCTGGACAAGTACGGCGACAGATTAACAGCCGAAGACCGTTTTGTAATAATGCAGAGCACGGCCCCGCCGCAGGTCGTCGTGTCGACCGCCGGTCAAGTGATGACCGGTATTCTCGCCCTCGTAATATCGTTAGCCGCGGGATTCATCGGGTGAGGTGAGCCCTCGACCTTTGCATTTCGCCCCGCCATTTAATTCCACGCGCATGCGATGTTGCAGGATTTCCTACAAGACTTTAAAGATTTTCGTGTATCCATCGTATCATCGGTCTGACGCTCATAGGAAATCTCATTTTTATCCAACAGAAATATCATTTGAACCAAAATTCATTGGTAACGAGCGAATAAATATTTCCTAACTTTGATTTCGCTATAGAAACTTGGGTACAGCCACTTGTTGTACATTGTGAATCATGAAATTGGACGTCGCAACGTACACAGAAATACCAACATAGCAATAACACGCGCGTGGAATTAACACATCAGAGATCCTTCTACTGCTGAGAATGATACATAACTCGTCTTCTTCTCTTTGCTTTATGTTTCAGATATCCTTACGCACGCGGTCTGTCGCATCTATCCGTCTATCTATCGATCTATAGGGGAATCTTTAGAGCGTATCTCGCGCAACAAGCCGTTATTTTATCGTTATAATGTGTAGTAGTATTAATCGATCGTAAAGATCCAAGAATATCCCTGTTTGCTATCGACCACTTGTTCCCAATTGCGTTCATAGCTCGACGCTAGAAAGAAGCAGAAGCAGAAGCATATTTTGGCTGTTGTTGCAAATGGTTGCAAACGTTGTTCATCAGTTTTTTTTTTATCTTGCCGGTAATTTTTTAGGCACTGACCTCGGCATAAACGAATCGAGCAATCGATCGATTGGCGACGGGTGTACTCCATTCGAGCCGTAATTATCGTGATAAACGTTGTTGTTATACATCGCGTGCCTGCATCACGTCGCGTCGCGAGTAATATTCTGTGATTTTTACGACGCCTCTTCGCTGGTCGAGGACGCGCTTCTACGATATAACGATCGTCTTTCGGTTCGACTCGGTTCGCATGGAAGAACGAAGAATCGAACGAAGAATTTCCCGCCATAAGTTGTTTTCAGTATTATTGTCGTCCGAGTGGTGCAGTTTTGCGTCGTGTGACGTGTGACAGCTCGAGCTGAAAAGCGAACCGTGCAGAGACGAATATTTGGGTAAGACGAAAAAAACGGTAAGAGTTGTTGGAAAGGAATCAGCGGAAGCGTTGTAGTATCGGATAAAGCGCGCGAAATGTGTTCCGGAGAAGAACACGTTTCGAATTACGCGCGCTGCGTCGCTGAGACATGGTGCGAATAAAATGTTGTAGATTCGTCATGGACTTCACAGAAAGAACCTACACAATGTTGTTGTTACACCAGAGCAATGATGCTATGAGAGAAGTTCGAGAGCGAGAATAGTAGCGCGGATCTTGTCTAGTCAGTTCGTGTTACATCGTATGCGTATACCAAAGAGGCCTTTTTATCAAGGAGCATCCCTGAATTTCTCGCTACACCTCGAGTTAGATGTATTTATTTTTTCTACGACATTCCCGCGGCAAGCACCAACGATCTTCCTTCATTTTTCTCCGGAATAATCGCTACCGTTAGATTTACAGGATCTCGAAGTATTGATCACGTAGCGTGTAAGCTCGCTTCTACGCGTCGACACATTGCACTTGCAATACGTCGAGGATTTTTTTTCTTTCTTTTTCTTTTTGTTTGTTTTCTCGTTTTTAGGGATTTATCGTTTATTTTTCGAATATATTTATTTAAGAGGTACCGAGGTTCAAGCGCGTCCGCCGGCTACCTCTCTCTCGACGCTTATTAAATTAGACGAATATGTTTCGTGATACATGATAGTTGAATCGTCCGAAATAAATAAAAGCTTATCAAGTACAAGTGCGCATCGATTCGCCCCCCGAACTTTGCGTAACAGTCGTTGCAGGACGACGAAATGAAATAACAACGAGACAGAGTAAGAGAGAAACGTCACCTGTTAAGGTAAACGAGAACTGTTTCCCGGTTGTTTTCGGCATGCATCCCCTTACCTAGGTTTTGCCTGCCTGTGTGGTGACTCTTAAATAAAGTATATAAAGTTGAAACCAGAAAATCTACCTAACCTGTTCCTCTATAAAGCTAGCTTGTCCCCGCTAGAGCAATAACCGAATAAACTTTTTGCTCATATTTGTTTGTTCGTTTTGTGCATCGTGAGAAAAGTTGGCTAGTTGGTCGC